TTCCGATTCCAACGTGTCCTTTCCCCTGGACCACGAGGCCCATCAGGGAGGAGGCTCCCCGGTACCTCAGGAAGTCCAACATCTGCCCACTCCATCCTCTGCCCCAGGGAAGCAGTGAGGGTGAGTCAGTGCCCCTAGAAGCTGTTATCAGGGAAGGGGGTGGAGAGCCAGTCAGATATCCTGTGCCTGGTATCCACAACACGCCGGGAGTTGGGAGTGGGGTGTGTGCCAAGCTGCCTGCTCACCCTGTTCCTGTTGGCTGAAGGAGGGTCCTCCTCTGATGTAGCTGCCCTTGTCATCGCTCCTCCCTGTACTTTCATCACAGAAAATACAGTCTTTCCTCCTCCCCCTACTGTAACCTGCCTCTTAAAGGGAACGACAAGCACTTTGAAACCAAATTAGAGAGAGCAAAGGACCTCCCTGACCCTAGTAGGACCTTGCTGTTAAGTAGGGTTCCAGCTGTGGGCCTTTCCCTGAGTTGTCTTCTTTTTCCCCTCAGTTCCACCCTGTCTCTGCTGGAGGGTGGGTGAAAGTTCCCTGGGATGTCAGGTTCCCACATACTCTCCCCTCAGGGTGACCCCAGCTTGGTTTCCTGTATCTGTTCCTTACGTGTGCCTGAATCTGGGGGCTGCCCTTTGGGGGATGCTGAAGATGGGGAACCCAGGAATCCTCGGGACCAGCAACAGCACCCAAGGGGTTAAAGGTCTGGGCACAGCACTGTCTAGGGTGTTTGAAGTAGGGCGGGGAAGGGAAGGGCTAGAGTAGTTGGAGAGGCAGCTGATCTGGACTGGAATGAGTCCCCCCTGTCTCCTATGCAAACTTCTGGACCATGAGCAATTCCCTTAAAAGGACCAAGACAGAGACACCCCCATTAAGGTCCTGGACTGGATTCTTAGAGGGACTGTCTGAAGTGGGACTTCTTCCTATACTGCAGTCACCAACCGAAGGCAAGAACAGGTCTCCCATCTTTGGGATCTCTCCCAAGTCTGGTGAGTTCCACTCTTCCCTTTCCCTGAGTCCTTACCGCATCAATGGGCATTTCCCAGAAGCAGAGATCTTCAGGAACCCCTCAGCACCCCCAGGAAGTGACAGAACAATTCTCCACCAGTCTCCTGCATTCAGCTGCCTTTTTAAAAATTAATTAATTAATTAATTTTTGGCTGCATTGTGTCTTCGTTGATGCACGTGGGCTTTCTCTAGTTGCAGCGAGTGGGGGCTACTCTTCATTACAGTGAGCAGGCTTCTCATTGCAGTGGCTTCTCGTTGCGAAGCACAGGTTCTAGGTGCTTGGGCTTCAGTAGTTGTGGCACACGGGCCCGGTAGTTTTGCTTCGCAGGCTCTAGAGCGCAGGCTCAGTAGTTGTGGCGCACGGGCTTAGTGGCTCTGTGACATGTGGGATCTTCCCAGACCAAGGCTTGAACCCGTGTCCCCTGCATTGGCAGGCAGATTCTTAACCACTGCACCACCAGGGAAGTCCCATCAGCTCCCTTTTTTAAAAAATTTTATTAATTTTATTTATTTTTATTTTGGGCTGCATTGGGTCTTCGTTGCCGTGCGCGGGCTTTCTTTGGTTGCTGCGAGCGGGGGCTACTCTTCACTGCGGTGCGCGGGCTTCTCATTGCAGTGGCTTCTCGTTGCAGAGCACGGGCTCTAGGCACGTGGG